ACAAAGTACTTTGATTCAGAAAAGAATAAAGTATTTCTAGTCTTTGCTTTGTCAATATAGTTTTAAAAATGACAATTTGTCATTTTCTTATTGGGAAACAATTTCTTCCTTTTCTTTCTCCCTCCCTCCCTCCTTCCCTTTTTTCATTACCCTTCCTTCCTTCCTTCCTTCCTTCCTTCCTTCCTTCCTTTTCTGAGACAGAGTTTCTATTTGTAGGAGCCTGTCTGAAATTCACTTCATAGAACATGCTAGCCTAGAACTCACAGAGATTTGCCTGCCTCTGCCTACCGAGTGCTGGGATTAAAAGTGTGCACCAAAACAACCAGGCAACAATTTCTAAATTACCAAAAAAAAAGCAGTCTCTGGCAAGGACAGGTGAGAATGCTAACGCTCCAGTGCCACATGCAGTTTTACAGATGCAATTGCACGGTGAGATGGACATTAGAATGCTAGAACTCTGGGGATGACAGAAATTGTCACAAGCACCATGCCTAGTCACCCAGCAAAGGTCGCTGAGCTGTGTGGAGATATTATACTTTCTATGACTGAGGCTACCTTGTCTTCAGCACTGGAGACTCCCTCTTCCATGTTTCGTGCTCTGAGGTTTTCGTTTCACTTCCCAAGGTTTTTCATTTCCAGTTTTATCTCTGTTTGGCTTTGCTTTAGCAACTCCATCTCAACTTTCATGTCTTGAACTGTTTTCATCATGTCCTTGACTGTTCCTTTGTATTTTCATAGACTTTGATGAGAATTTTTTCATGTCCTCTTTAAGGTCCTTGAACATACTCATAATTGCTGCTTTGAAGTCCTTGTGTTTTCACACTGGTGCCTAGGCCTCTGGGTTTGTGATGACTGATGTGATTTTAGATGTTGATTTTGGGTCTTTGTTGTGGGGGTACTCTGTTGTTTGGTTTCTGTTGGCCTCTCTTGACTTTAGGAGAGGGTGGAGGCTGTGGGTTTCCTGGTAGACAGTGCTTCTGCAGGTTGGTGAGTGGCAAAGGGTAATAGAGGTTGGCTATGTAAAATGCCAGAGAAGGTCTCCATGAAAGAGCTAAGAGTTCCCTACTACATCAAGAGATGGGGTGCTCAGGGATTTAAAGGTGTGGTGGAAAGGGGCCTTCTGCATTGGGTTGAACTAAGGCAATGAGTAATTTGAAGAGACAGGCTTGATGGGCTGGGCGACCCTGGGTCTGCAGTAAGAGCTGGAGCCTGATGAATGGAGCTGAGGTGGCAGGTGGGAACATGTGAGCAGGCTGTCACCAATCGATGGTGAGAGGGGACAGATCATAAATGAGGACACAATGGAGAGCAGGGTTCCCCTGTGTGAGTCCCTCCCAGGTGTAGCCACTGGAGGCCAGGTGGAAAGTGGGTGCTGACAGGAAGGAATGGGGCTAGGCTAGAAGTGGGGGGCAGTGGAGTGAGAGGGTCCACAGGCAAAAGGAAGCATGGTTTGGCTACAATGTTTGGTACAGTCCCCAGAAAAGGAAGTAGGATGGATAGACAGGCTCCTGCAAGCAGGCTGCTACGGGGCTGGTGTGAGGATGGAGAGAATGTGATGGAGGGGAGGAAGGAGAGTGGAAATCACCTACCCGATTCCACTGGAGTTCCAGGCAGAGAGCTTGTGTAGGCATAGTTTGCTGACACAGAGGGATGGGAGAAGGGAAGAAGGTGGGATTGCTGCAAGGTTCCAGCGGTCTCCAGGGAATGGAGGGTGTCAGGTTGGGAGGGGAGTGCCCAGCACACCTATATCCACCTTTGAAAGTGGTAACTTTTACTTATGGCAAACCTCTAAACTAGCAACAACAGTTAGAGTTAATGTATTTCCCCCTTTAATCTCCTTTGAATTAGCTCTCTTTGTCTCCTCTCTCTCTGCCTCTCTTGAGACAGGGTTTCTATGTGTAGTTCTGGCTGTTCTCAAACTGGCTGTGTGGACCAGGCTAGTCTTGAACTCAGAGATCTGCCTGAGATGTAATTTATTTGCTATGAATAGACTCCTAAATGATTACATTTCAGTTGAGTGACCTGATTAAGAACCTCCTCCCCTAGGAGTTGTTGAATTGCCTTCTATACTGGAAATGGGATATGTTATCTACTTTGAACACTGTTATACCTATGGATGTCAGGGGACAGAAGCCAGATACTTCTGGTAAGGGCCTTGTCCCTCATTACCAGAGTGGGTTGGAGGGGACAATTTATTTAATCTTTGAGCTACATTGTTCTTTCCTTCAAGAGGTTGGTCTTCCCAGATTACATTACAGGACAACAGCCTGCAGAATGGGGAAAGGTCTTCACTAACCCCACATCAGACAGAGGTCTGATCTCTAAAATATACAAAGAACTCAGGAAATTGGTCATCAAAAGAACACATAATCCAATTTAAAAAAATGGAGTACAGACCTAAACAGAGAACTCTCAACAAAGGAATCTAAAATAGCTGAAAGACACTTATGACGGGGAAACTCTGTCTACTAGCCAGTTAAGGCGTGGCTACCTGGAACCCAGGAAGAAAAACAGGGAGGACCCAGGTGTGTGCTCTCTCTGCTCTGCTCCCGCCGACAGATAGGAAGTTAGACCTCCCTCTCTTGTAGAATGAGTTTCCCCTTATAACCATTAAAATATAATTATCATCCTTGAGATTGCCCGGTTATATACCTAATTTGCAGCACACTTAAAGAAACGTTCAACATCTTTAGTCATCAGAGAAATGCAAATAAAATAACTCTGAGATTCCATCTTACACCTGTAAGAATGGCTAAGATCAAAAACACTGATGACAATTTATGCTGGAGAGGTTGTAGGGGAAAAGGGAACACTTCTGCATTGCTGGTGGGAATGCAAGCTGGTACAGCCCCCTTTGAATGTCAGTGTGGTGATTTCTCAGAATGAGGGAGGGGGACATGATTGGGGGAGGGGAGGGAAATGGGAGGTGGTGGCAGGGAGGAGGCAGAAATCCGTAATAAATAAATAAATTTAAAAAAAACAAAAAAAAACCCCCCAACTTTCCTCAAGACACAGTAATACCACTTTTGGGTATATATCCAAAGGATGCTCAATCGTGCCACAAGGACATGTGCTCAACTATGTTCATAGCAGCTTTGTTTTTCATAGCCAGAACCTGGAAACAACCTAAATGTCCCTCGACCAAAGAATGGATAAGGAAAATGTGGTACATTTACACAATGGAGTACTACACAGCAGAAAAAAATAATGACAGCTTGAATTTTGCAGAAAAATGGATGGAGCTAGAAACCATGATTTTGAATGAGGTAACCCAGACACAGAAAGACAATTATCACATGTACTCACTCATAGGTGGTTTTTAAATATATAGCAAAGAAAACCAGCCTACAAACCACAATCCCAGAGAACTTAGACAACAATGTGAACACTAAGAGAGACTTGCATAGATTTAATCTACATGAAAGTAGAAAGTAGAAAAAGACAAGATCTCATGAGTAAACTGGAAGCATGGGGACCTTGGAGGAGGGTTAAAAGGAGGAGGGGATAAGCAGGGAGGAGAACAGAGAAAAATGTAGAGCTCAATAAAAATCAATAAAAAATAAAAAAGAGTAAAAAAACAACAACAAAAAAAAACCAACTACACCTTTCACACTTTTTTGAAACCGACAAAGGTAAGTGAGAAGATTTAGAATTGCCAGCGACAGCTATCGAGAACTTTCTAACCACAAACTCAATAGCACAGCTTCCTTCCAAATTAGTCTGTGCTGGAGCCCATTGCCCATTCTCAATATCCCCCTATAGGCAGTTGGTGCCACCATGCTTGGAAAAGGGGATATCTCCCCCACCTCCAGCAACTGCTGCCAATCCCAGAGTATCAACCTACATCTACCCTCTGCTGTCTAAGCTTACACACAACTGGTCCCAGGAGTCTGGGATTTGAGATACAATTCTCTGTGCTTTAGAAACAGAAAACTCTGAGGCATTAGGTTGCCAGGGGAAGTGGGTTTCTTTACAGTTCTGTCCAGAGCTAGGGAGAGAAACATTCTTAGCCTCTGCCCACTGTTCTTCTCCCAACAATTTTACAGGAAAACTGGAACACAAACATCAGACAGACATGTAGGTTTAGCTGTGAGGAAAGCTGTAACTCTGAGAACGTTCATTGGAGGGAGTCTCCTCCTGTCCCCGCTAGAGAATCTCCTGGAGCCATTGTGACTTTAGCCTTGCTTCTCCCAGGGTTGTTCCCTATTCCATTAAATACAGTAATCTAGTCATCTAGGACACCCCTGAGACAAGGGGCATGGAGTAGTGTTGTCATCCAGCTGCCCATACTCCCCCTGACTGACAGCAGAACTTCCTTGTGGTCTGTAATTGGCAAGGATGTTTGTGTTCTTTCTGGCTGGTGTTTCTCCACAGAAGCAGTAGAGCTATAAAAGGTTGCTGGGCAGAATATAGCTTGCTGTTCTTCTAACTGAAAAGAAGCCTCCGTATCTCAATCTCGGCACCCCCAGTCAGTGTAGGCAAGGCCAGGCCGTGTAGGCCACGGCAGATTAGTCTCATATCCCTCACCCTGCCCTGATTTTCCTCTGTCCACCTAAGATCTCTAATCCCTTTCTGATCCTAGCACGGCCTTGTCCAGACAAAGTAGGGGAATAGAAGAGAAAAATAACTTCTACAAGTGAGGCATTGCCAAATATTTATTGTTGCTTTGATGGAGCTTCATAAAGCAATGGAGTTTCGCAAGGACAACCTGTGCTTTCAGTGGGTAGGTGAAACCAAACGAGAGAGCTCTCAGGTCCATGGGGTCTGAATAGTTTGGAATTAGGAGCTGAGGCGCCACAGCCCATGTGCAGTTGGGCCGGTGCTGAGGAAAGCCTGTGGCTGGGCCAGTGACCGGCAAAGCTGTGGTGACTTGAGAAGAGACTGAGTTGGTCTCTGTGTGAAAGGGGGCAGCAGGACCTAAGTTGTGCCTCTGTCCCTACTGGAGGACCTGACAAATATTTCCTGAAGGCACCCAGGGACATGTCCCTGCCATCGTCACATCACTGAGTCTTTGTGTTCAGTGTCCCCTTGTGCTGCTCCACTAGTGACCCAATCCACTCTGAAGTTTTCTCCCTGGCTTCCTCCCAGCTGACAGGTGGCTCATAGCCCAGATCTCGCTGAGCTTTCTTGTAGGAGAAGGTGAACACACTATTTAATACTGTGACCCTGTAGCGGGTTAAGGGAGTCTGGTAGTTGTAGATTGGACGCAGCAGGAAGCTCACCACTTCCATCAGGAAGGCAAGCCAGTACAGCAGGGGCAGGGGAGGGCTCCAACCAGAATAGAGGCGGAAGCCCCAATCCTTGCTCAGGTTGTAATATAAATCATCATAGCTTTGGTGAGGAGTGTCATCTGAGATGTAGTAGAACTGTCCTTGGATGTTTGGTGACTTCTTGGGGTCTCGTAGGCCCCTGGCAGCCAGAACATGTGCCCAGGCCCCATTGCTCACATACACTGAGTTGCCCACAGAGAATTTCGAAATATGCCAAATAACGCTATTGTTTTCAAGTGCTCTATTCATTAAGCCCAAAACTGTTTGGCTTCCTTCTCCATAGATGAATGGGAGTCTTAAGGCACAAGTATGCAAAGTGCCGCCATCTTTCAGGGTGTGCCCATCAGCTGCCAGCACTGCCTTCTCAGCTATCTTCTTGCTGTATGGATATGGATCAGACCACTTGCTTTCGTGATTTTCTTCCTCGCAGGCATTCCGGATGATCTCCTTGTAGGAGTTTGGTCCAGCCACGGACATTGAGCTGCTGTAGATGAAGACTGGAACACTGGCTTCCACACAAGCATCCAACAGGAGCTGAGTACCTGCTCACAGAAAGCTTGCCATTACCGACAGGAAATAAACCAAAGGGCCCATTGTAGCTATGGCATCAGCTTCATCTCCTTTTCAACCCCACTGGAAGGGCCGCTACAGACCCAAATGCCTTCTTACCTGATCTTGACTCAAATCGCCATTCTATAGCCACAAATTAGATTCTGGAAAACAGAGATTTCTAGGTTTCTGAATTCATAAAACTCTCCCTCTCTCTCTCTCTTTCTCTCTCTCTCTCTCTCTCTCTCTCTGTGTGTGTCTCTCTCTCTCCTCATGTACTTACTTTTCAGTGCTCGGGATCAAACCTAGGTTCTTCCTTATGTTAGACAAGGCCTGCCCCACTGAGCCACTGAGTCTTAGTTTGCTTTCTTGCTTTTTTGCTGAAAGTGTTTCATAGCTTTAGGAGTATTCTGGTGGAATTTTTTGATCACTTAAGTAGACTATCATACTATCTGCAAATAAAGATGTTTTGGCTTCTTCCTTTTCAAGATGTACCCGTTGATCTCCTTCAGTTGTGCTGTTGCTCTAGTCAAGACTTCAGGTGCTGCACTGAGTAGGTATGGAGAGAGTGGATAATGTTGTCTTGTTCCTGACATTAGTGAAAATGCTTTGAGTTCCTCTTCATTTAAGTTGATGTTGGCTCTGGGTTTGCTATAAATTGCCCTTTTATGTTTAGGTATGACCCTTGTGTCCCAGATCTTTAATCACAAAGGGTTGTTGTTTTCTGTCAAAAGTCTTTTTTTTTACATCTAATTAAATGGTTCTGTGGTTTTTGACTTTGAGTTTGTGTATATGGTGGGTTTACTTATATTGACTTATATATGTTGAACCATTCCTGCATCTCTGAGATGAAGCCTACTTGATCATGGTGGATGATCTTTTTGATGTGCTCTTTGATTCAGTTTGCAAGTAGTTTATTCAGAATTTTTGCATCTATGTTCATGAAGGAAATTGTTGTGTAATTCTTTTTCTTTGTGGGACTTTATATGGTTTGGGTATTCTGTGTTAAAACTATCTGACTCTGGGCTCTTATTTGGTTGGGAGACTTTTGATGATAGCTTCTATTTCATTAGAGGTTATGGATCTGTTTAAATTGTTTATCTTATCTTATGTATTGAGAAAATTCTTTTTCTTTATTTTTTCCAATTTATTGGAGTACAGGTTTTTAAAGAATCCTTTAATTCTCAGGATTTCCCTACTGTCTGTTGTTATAATTTTTCAGCTATAATTTTGTTAATTTGGATATCCTCTCTGCCTTTTGTTTAATATGTATAAGGATTTATTAATATTGTAGCTTGTCTCAAAGAACCAACTCTATGTTTCTTGGTTTCTTGTAGTTTTTGTTTCTCTTTTATTTATTTCAACACCAAGTTTGCTTATTTCTTGCTACTCCTGTTAGGTATTTTTCCTTTTTGCTCTAGAGCTCTCAGGTGTGCTTTAACTTACTAGTGTGATATTCTTTTTTTTTAAAAAAAAAATATAGGCAGTTAGTGCTATGAAAATGCTTTCCAGAATGGTTTCATTGTATCCCTTATATTTGGATATGTTGTGTTTTCATTTCACTCAATTCTAAAATTTTTAAATTTCTTTCTTTTTTTCTGTCTTGTTTTTTATACAGTAGAGAGTTGTTTGCTTCCTTGAGTTTGTAAGCTTTCTGTTGTTGTTGATAGCCAGTTTTACTATGTGGTGGTCAGACAGGATACAGGGTATTATTTAAAAAAATTTTGTATCTGTTGAGACTTGTTTTTTGTTCACGTATGTGGTCAATTTTGGAGAAAATTCCAGGAGGTTCTGAGAAGAAGGTACATTCTTTTGTGTTTGCATGAAATGTTCTGTAAATATCTCTTTGGTTTCTATTTGGTTTCTAAGGTCAGTTGACTGAGCATTTCACTGTTTAATTTTTGTCTGGACAATTTGTCTGTGGGTGAGGGTAGGTTATTGAAGTCTCCCAGTATCAGAGTGTAAGGGTCAGTATGTGACTCAAGCTGTGGTAATGTTCATTTTGAACTTGGGTGCCTATGCGCTTAGATGTTAAGAACTGTAATATCCTCTTGGTGGATTTTCCTTTGATGAGTATGCCATGTATTTCATTCTATCTTATGATTAGTTGTGGTTTCAGGTCTATTTTGTCATCTATTAAAGTAAGTATACCAGTTTGCCTCTTAGGTCTGTTTTCTTGGAATATCCCTTTTTATCCTTTTATCCTGAAGTGATGTGTATCTTTGATACAGAGATATGTTTCTGAATCAGCAGAAAAAGAAAATCTATTGATTTTCATATCCATTCTGCTAGTCTGTGTCTCTTTCATGAGTGATATCATTAAGCAGTGTTTGTTTATTTCTGTTATTTTTTTTTTTTTGGTGATGTTTTGTGGCTTTCCCTCTTTTGTTTTGCTGTCCTGGAATTATATATTCCTTGTATTTTCTTTGGTGTAGTTAAACTCCTTGGGTTGGGGTTTTTCTTCTATCACATTCTACAGGGCTCAATTTATAGTAGATATTGCTTAAATATTATGGTTTTATCATGTAATATCTTGTTTTCTTCATTGATGGCAATTGAAAGTTTTCTGGGTATGATGAATGGGCTGGCATCTCTGGTCTTTTAGAAACTCTAGAACATCTGTCTAGGCTCATCTGGCTTTTAGAGTCCCATTGAGACATAAGGTGTTCTAAACAGAGACTGTGCTTTTTTTTTTCCTGACCACCCAGACCTGAATAATCACACAAAACAATACTAATTACAATACTGTTTGACCAATGGCTCCGGTGTATTCCTAGATAGCTCTTACATCTTAAATTAAATTTCTATTAATCTGTGTATCGCTATGAGGCTGTGGTTTACCGGTAAGGCTGGCTTCCTTCTCTTTCGACAGCTACATTGCATCTGCCTGATTCTACCTTATTTATCCCTGCCTTTAGGGAGAAAGTGACAAGGCTAGCCATTTTGGCACGAAACTGCTCTTTTCTGGAATGTTTGACTATTGGTATGCTGTATAAACTAGACATGCAAGATCTACAGAAAAATTACTGCTGAACTTGCCAGAACTGCACACACAGGTTTGGACCACAGCATGGAAGCTGCTCAGACAGGTTTGGAATGCAGCAGGAAGCTGTACAGACAGGTTTGAAATGCAGCATGCAGCAGGGTGCTGCACAGACAGGTTTGGAATGCAGCAGAAAGCTGTACAGAAAGGTTTGGAAAGCAGCAGGGAGCTACACAGACAGGTTTGGAATGTAGCAGAAAGCTGAACTCTAGAATTCCCCAGACTAAATGTGCTGGTAGAAAAGGCTTCTGCCACATTCTGGTGAAAGGAAGTATGTGAGTTGAATTAAGAATTCTAGGATTTCACTAGTTGAGCATAGACATATTTGTAACTTTGGAGAAATCTTTGTGGGTGTGTCTTTTAATTCCCTTTTGATTTGATGCTGTGAAACACAAACAAGCGACTTCCTCATACAAATTGGCGCCCATGTGGCCAACTAAAATCCACATAAAAACCTGAGAAAGCTTAAAAATTAATTCTAGACACAAAAGAACAGAGTTAAGCACAGTTTGCTAGTGGCATTTTCTTGAATGGGCTTTGTTTGCTAGAAGCAAGCAGAGGCATGGCTCCTTTAAAGGAAGTTTACTTGATTCAGTGTTAGCAGGAAAAAAGCTGCACTGTCTTAAAATGGGAACTTTCTGGGCCCTGCTGGCATGATCTCTGATTCTTTTAGGCAGGAGATCTTGATACTGAGCATTTGGATGGGGATTGCGAACACTCTACTGCAGCTTTCTTGATGGCAATGTGGACCAGCTGTGTGCCTGAAACTGGGGCAGTGTGTATGACTCTCAGAGCAATGAGCAGCTCTGCCATGTTGGAATGGGCATGGCAAGAAGGAAGTACTGTATGTAGCCTAGAAATGTCACAGCTTAGATTATTAATCACTTAGCATTTTGAAAAGTACTTCTGGTCAGAAAATAATTACAGATATATTATAAAGACAAGTCCAGGACTGGAGAGATGGCTCAGTGGTTAGGATCACTGACTGCTCTTCCAGAGGTCCTGAGTTCAATTCCCAGCAACCACATGGTGACTCACAAATACCTATAATGAGATCTGGTGCCCTCTTCTGGACTACAGGCAGGATACTGTATAAATAAATAAATAAATCTCAAAAAAAGACAAATCCAGATGAATCATAATGTTGGATAAATTTACATAGGCTTGGAAGAGAGAAGAAAAAGAGTATAGAGAGCCATAAAATAAAGTTAATGCTTTAAGAAACAGGATAAAGTTTTTGAAGAGATAGAGTACAGACAGTTATATATTAAAAGGAGTAAATAAAAATAAGCCATGTAAAGATGGAAAAGTCACAGAGAGTCTAGATTATGTATATTATAATATCTTCAAATTTTTTGACTGTAAAGGAGCTAAGTACAGAGAGATATTTCATTGTATGGGCTGCTAAGTTAAACCAACATAAAGGTGTCTTGATTCCAAAGTTTGAGCCTAAGGATATGTTGCTTTGGAAAAGAGGTTCTTCTTTTGTTTTCACAGAAGATGAGAACCTGTGTGTTGCTTTTAGACCAATATGGTTTGATAGACCATGCCCTCCTGAAAGTTTGCCGTGAACACCCTCAAAAAATTACTTTACCCATCTGCTGACTGAGATGAACCTAGCACACAGGATACACCATGAAAGACCTGATTAACAGTGCCCCCAAATGGCAGGAAGCAGTATGGACAGAACTATACCCATAATCCCAAATATTGTTTATAATTGTTTATTTACATTTAAAGGGGATATGCAATAGAGATGAATAATTTGCATTGGTATGGATCTTGGTTTATTGATATAAATTTAAGGTTAATTTTGTTATATGAGTATGTATTTCTGATCTTGATTAAGGTATGTGTTCCTGTAGCTCATTTTAAAATGTAGTGTATAATTAAGAAATATAAGTTAATAGATACTCATCTATAATAGTCAGGCTTGTAGCCATGCTACTT